ATAAAGTGAATGATAATTAAAAATTACTGCTGTTAATGAGAGGGTAATATTTTCTGTAGTTACTTTATGTGACCTTGATACTGTATGCTTTATTAATGGATGCTTACAATATTCATTATATTGTATGTTGTGGAATTCTTTGCATATATATACTAGATTGAATGTTACAGTAACTGCTGATGAAATTCGCATGGATGGACAAAAAGTATGTCATATACTTACAGCACTGTGTTGTCTAATTAGATTAGCCTCTCCTCTTAGTACATAAAGAATATACTGAGAATTTGATTTAAGATTTCTCATAGAAGTTTACAACATAATATACCCTTGCGAAATTTGCAATTTTCAGTCACTTTAGATTACAAACGGGAAATTGATACTCAAACACCCGATTTGGGTATCAATTTCATGTTTGTAATCTAAAATGATTGAAAATTGCAAACATCGCAGGGCTATATTATCCGCATTTTACAACATTTCGTAACGAAACTTTGGAATATTACTAATTTTGTGATGCTCTTTCGAGCTGCGATGAAATTTTTGTCTAGATCAAAATTTTAGTTATAAGGTTAAAGGTCCATTAAGTTGTGATATAATGGCTTAAGCAAGAAGATATGGGTGTGGCCATGTAAGTTTAGAACATGTTAAATTTAATATAATTTAATCGTATTTATAAGTATATAACTAATTAACATGATTTCATTTCAGTGAATAAACAGTGACAACAACATGATGGCAATGCCCATGGTTCCTGCTGTATTTTATATCTCTATTTTGTAATTTGAACCAATTGATATTATTTTATTTCTGTTGATGAGCATTGAACATCGTCAAAATGGCAATGGTATGGATCTTGAAATATATTAGAGATAAATACCTATGAAAAATACATACCTAGTGTGTCAGTGTGACACTTTAAAACCCTACCATTTAAAAAATTCGGGAAAAATCGAAGCCACGATCTAAGAGTTGGAAATTCGGTATAAGAATGACGCCTCCTTTGTTGCTATGGCAGAAATGGTCATTCAATGTGGCCAATATTGTTGTATGATATACACCCTGTATATATATACTAAATTAATGACGTATGTATGGATGTTTAGTAAGAAAAATATCATAAACTGTAAAAATGTGAGGCATGCTTTAGGCCTGTTTCATACATCGAACTATCGTCGAATTTAATTCAGACGAATTTTATTGAACAAATTATAGATGCGAAGGTAGTGCATCGTATGAAACGATTTAAATTCGTCTGATGAATTAAATTCGTGCAAGACGTTTTATCCGACATGGCCAGACGGATACAACGTCAATATCGCGTCACCGGTAAATGAATTTATTTCTCAATTGGAATGTCAGACAATATTCTAGAAATTATTTAGAAATTAGTTAACGAATCGAACAAATATATTTTAACGACTTATTATTCTATAAATAGGCGCAACGCGAGTCTTTTGACGTTTCTCATATTGAATTAGTTACCGCGCCTTGATGTCAAGGAACAACTGTATGTATTGCACTCTCAACCTATTTGCGTGAGGTGGTCGCGTATCACGTGAAATTACTGCTGTAAGTGGATTCTTATCATTTATAGACCCAGTGCGAGGGGAATTCGGCAAAATATTACCCGAAGTGATCCATGATATTTCCCGAGGGACTTTGCCCTAAGGGAAATATCATGACAAAGTGTAATATTTTGACAAATCCTCCGAGCGGAGGGTCTATAAATGATATATTATAACGAAAGTTAAAGAACCCACTAAGTTCAGAATAACCTCGCTCAGGCGTTTGAGCTCAGTGGAACAGGCTATAAGCCAAGACCGATAAAGACACAAATTATATCGGAAAACATCTTATCCAATTCAGAACAGACCTCAAGGCAAATTAACGAACATTTTCTTTATAAATATGTTATACTGTCCTGTCAGTTTTCAAAATACTTTTTACGTTTTTGTTGTGCTATTCAGTTTTATCACTAGCTTGCATCTAGTTTTTCAAACATTTCTTCCATTTGTACGTCTTCTCGTGTGTCGGTCGTCGATCTTGCGCAATTATCTTTGCTAATATTCACGCTTCTTGAAACTGTTTCATGGTGTTGATGAATCTTCCTTTTTATCTTCAAGATTTGTATAAAAGCACTTCGGAATCTGGAAGACTGCATTGCATAACAGAAAAAGTTCAAGCTAGAATTAATTAAGATTGAAATTAATGCCAAATCCAAAAACCAATGTAAAGCGACACAACTACATGATTCACAGAAGTTGATGAGATAAATAAACAAAGTTGCAGGACCATAGCAACAAAACATGGCAATGAGGACCACGAGAAACATTTTTGTGACTTTTTCTTCCATTTTATTAGTGCTCGTAACAACTGAATTGGATACAGTTGGATCATTCAGAGGCGTTGATGATTTTTCACGTTCTGTTGAAGAAAGCGAAGCTATGCTTTTGTTATGATTTGCTATTGTCTTATGAGATCGTCCTTTGATTTTTCGCCACATTAAGAGGTATGTGAAACACGTTATTGAAATAGCCAAAACGAGCGATGCGTTAACAAAGACAAATGAGTATAGAATGTATCCAACTTCGAAATATATACTTGGTAAAGACAATGAAATCAACCAAATTACAGCGACGGTGAATACGATTCGTTTAATAGTCATTTGATTACGATATGTGGCTGGTTTTCTTACTGCCAGGTATCTTTCGACAGCCAAACTCGTAATGCTTAAAGCTGAGGCTGTACATGAAATGAAGTAACTCATATTATATACAGCCTGTTCGGCATCAGTATTTTTCTTCCCAAGGCATAGTTTGAAATGAATGCTCACAGAGATAGGATCTGTGATGGTTCCAGTAATTAGGTCAGCAGCTGCCAAATTTACAATTAACCAATTGAATGGTGTTCGAAGATTTTTGTTCGGATCTAACGCAACAGATAGAATTACGAGGATATTCCCAAGGATACCTAAGAAGGACAGAATAAGGGAAATACCGGTTGTTATAACTGCTAACGCCAGTGGAACTTCAGAGAATGGGCAGTTCTTCTCAAAGTGTCCATTGCCTAAATGCATTGTCCTGCAAAATATTGATAATACTATTTAATATGTACGAAGACTCAAACGCATACTATATAGAGCACATGATGATTACATAGTTGTTTCAATATATAAAATATAAGCATCTACATTGATGCAGTAGGTTGGGTACCTCTACAATGATCAGAAATTTTATCTTACCTTAATTTGAATGTATTCCTTTAGTAGATAAAATACTTTTTACAACTTATAAAAGACCATTTGCGCATGCATTGAACTGTATGTGCTTGGAGGGCGTGACGATATTTGAATAAAACTATTTGAGTTTGACATCTGCCTTCCGAGAGGACAAGTGATCAACGAATTATATTAGAAATTACGAGTACTGCATGTTTTGACAATACACTTATCCAAATTCGACACTCCCGAAGCAAAAAGCAAACACGATACTGATAAGCAATCATGCATAATATACTCTATTTACCAAACCGTTGTTTCTGACATTTATGTGCGGTAACTATACTGCAACAATTCAACAAAGCCTGGCATGCTATTTGTAGAATAATAAGGTCAATAACTCGTTAAAAATATATAGGTAAATGAATATTATTTCTCAATGTAGGACAACAATCTAGCAATTATTTAGCAAACGAATCAAATAAATATATATACTGTATATTCTATAAATAGTCACTTCGTGAGTCTGTTTACGTTTCTAATATCGAATTAGTGACTGCCCCAAAATGTAAAAAAAAATGCTCTCAACTTATTTGCGTGAAGTGGTCATGTATAACGTGAAATTGCTATAATTTCAAACAGTAGTTACCTCAAACGCCAAATTAAAACGGCTTATCTTGCGACTTTTTCCAAACTTTCCACATTATACAAAGGAAGCTAAAATGACTGATCTATAACACATAGTTACTACAAAATGAAACAAGTAGACAACACAAAAGAATAATAGAGCCAAAGGTGGACAAGTACAGACAGATGCAAAACGTCTCAACTCACTTATAAAATGCTGAATACTGATAGACAGATGCTCGTTAGAGAGCTAGACCTCAGACATATTTGCATAACGAGCCATTTAAGACTAACTTTCTTCGTCGCATTCAACTAAGCATATTATTGCGCACTATAGGAGCTGCATATTAGTCACAATCTGAAACGAAATGAGAAAGAGATTCTGTTGAATATCCACATGTACATATATACTGTATATATACCATTTATTGAAAACTCGAAAACTTGATAACTGCCTGATTGATAAAATTACTGTTGAATGCTATAGTTGCACTGCTATTTCTAGTGCGTTTTCTTCTTCTGATGGATGTGAACCAGTAGATGATGGACAAATCTCCTGAGCATATGTTCGGCGTCATCTGAACATTCATCCACTCTTCACATCCATCAGAAGAGAAAATCGCTCCTAAAATCGCAACAAAAATGACAAGTGTAAACGGCGTTTAAATTAAAGAGGTTATGAGCCTGAGAAAACGTTTGGGCGCGAATGGTCAAATTTAATTTCTGTCACATAATTTATTTCACACTTCCAGTCTGTAGGGTGAAGTCAAACACGCATTCAAATCCATTCAACAAAAACATATTTCCTTGACCAGTTTTGTCGTTTCAGTGTTATATTGCTGTACTTGGAAGAGGAAATATACGTTATTTACCGGCTACATGGGAGGATCTGTACTCAAAAATATTTCCCCAACTTTAGTATTTCTATATCTTTAGTATCGGTTGGGAGGGTTTTTCCAACCTTTTGGATATTTTTTTTTTCAGTTTGCATTGAATATTGTCTTCACTCATCGGTTTGTTTTGGCGTGAAACGTAGGAGGTTCATAACGTGTGCGAGAAGTACGTATCGCGTGACACGGACCTCTCGTCAACCAACCAGAGAGCCCATTTACGTTACGGATCTGGGATTACGGAATATGTGGATATTTTCATGGGAAGAGTTCGAATAAACTCATGGCAGACTGATCATGGATTTTTGTAGATGGACATTTCAAATGGAAACTGTACAGTTAACATGTGTTTCATAGAACTAACTGAGAGCATGTTTCGCTCGCTAATCTGGCTTAATTTAAATAAATTATTACAAAGTCCAGTTGAATTGTAATCAAGACCCAACGTTTTGACACTCCAGTCTAGTGTCTTCATCAGGGGTGATCTAAAGTTGCAATTGTCGCTTCTTAAATACCCAAGGGGGTTAAAACAAATCAGAAAACTCATGCTGTATAATCTATACCATGCGGTGACTGCGAAAAAGAGTATTTGGGTCAGTCTAAACACCAGTTTGGTACATGGCTAAAAGAACATCAAAAGGCTGTTTCAACTTTAAAACAAGGGAAAATCAGCTTTATCAGAACATGTGTGTGACACCAAACACGAGATTGTGTCGGAAAAATCTAAAGTAATTATCACAAACAATCGCTATCATGGTCAAAGACTATGCGTAGAGGCATGGCATATAAATATGAGTAATTATGCTGTGAATAGGGATGACAGTGCCTATTTGCCAGAGGAATACATGCATCTCATTGGCAGGTGATGTCATCCTTTGGGTATTTAAGAAGCCACAATTACAACTTTAGATCATCCCTAAAGAAGACACTAGACTGGAGTGTCTAAACGCTGGGTCTTGATTACAATTCCACCGGGCTTTGTAATTATTTATTTAATCCAGAGTAGCAAGCGAAACATGATTGATATACCTGGTTGCAGTGAACAAACACACTTCAATAACTCAGAGAGCAATTGCAAGTCTGCCAGCATAAACTGAACCTACAGCCCTGAAATTCTACTGCTGCCCTCTGACTTAAAGTGTCTGTTTGCCAAGAGGTCACCACAAGTTGCTGTACATACTGTATATAAACCATGGTCAGGTGTCAGTGGTAGTATATCAAGTTAACTGGTATCAGTATTATATACATAAACTCCTGGTGACCTTCATTGACTCTTGGGGCTTGATGGACTTTTTGCAATTAAAGAGCTGATCCGAATGACAGGGGTTTCATTCCCGGCACAATAGCTATTAATTATATAGTTATTGTTCAAAATGTCCATCTACAGAAAGACTTTAACCATCGAGTGGCAGCATACCTTGCATGGGACACAAAATAATAAAATAATAAAGTAGAGCAGATTGCCACTTAAAGGGTTAAACATTCTGTTCAATCTTGAACTACAAGTAACATACACTGCAAGTAGTGTCAGTGCTCAATCAAGCATATATATATGTCTAATGTCGTGCAAGTCCATTAGTTAAATTTTAGTACAAAACAACCTGTACTATACCACCAGTCGGCACCTCCTAGTCCTTTCCTTGCATGGTTTGGTAATCCGTAAACATGCTCTCCAGCAAAAGAATAACATTTTCCAAATAGACCATGAAGTATTTAGAATGCCATTAATGATTATATATATTGCCACTTGTTTAGATGACTTGCCTTCTCCTGGGATGCTTCGATAACGTTTCATTCAGCATCACAGAATATAATGAATCCATATTAAATACAACCACTATTAAGAAAAAATATATAAGGTTGATATATAACAGAAGCAAATTACTGAGTGACAATGAATTTGCTATTTTTGGTTGTTTTCTAGTGTACAAAGCAAGCAGAGGTGTAACTTAACACTTGCCCACGAATTGCCCGAGACAAGTGAAATTCATGATGGGCAAGTAAACGTTTTATCTTGCTTGCCCGATTGGGCAACTTGCCTTGCCGCAAAAATCTGGGCATCTTTAATTTAAGGGCAGATAATCTGATTAACCCATTGAGGGGCAGATTCTCCTCCTGACAAGTAAAATTGTGTGATGTTAGGCAAAGTAAAATAATAAAGTAGGGCACATTGCCACTTAAAGAGTTAAAATATCTCGGTAATTGTTTTTATCAGTTACATTTCGAAACTGTCTGCAAAAGTGTGATGTTGGTTACAGTATTGGAAGATGTGCTTCTATTATAAAACTCAGTCTGGTTGATTCGATTTGGTGAGCCTGCCCATCTAAAGAGGCTCATGTAAACAGACATTCATCCAGGGAAAGCAAGCTACAGTATAGCCGGGCTACCTGGGCTGGCTTTCTTGACCATATAAGCAGCTCTTCACACATGTTTTAGGGTGACCGATAGGAGGGTTTAATACCATAGCAAGCACATGCCATACATAGGGTAATATTGGGAGATGGGCTATTACAATGCTATCTATATGCTATTAATTTGACTTCAAACAAATCACATTGTATTTATGTGATTAATTGTAAGTATACAATGCACGCCAACTATAAACGGTTAAATATTTCACAGGAAATACAGCATACACGTATATCACACAAATAAGCTATACGATTTTCTTAAAACACAGATAAGTAGAGTGTAGATTAGATTTATACACTTCTGCTAATAGAAATTAATCGAAAATTTACAACTGAACGTTTGGATGCCTTCGGTAAAAAAGTATTAATACAAATACAAGCCTTCGATTTAAAAACATAACTATACAGTATATCAAGTAACTATCCGCATACAAATGAGTAAATACACAATAGACATACCTTTGAAAACAAATTCCATGTATTTTATTAGGTCTTTGGAACTTTATAAGTAGAAAATTTGAATAAAAATCCTTTCCTCTTTGAATATTTGCTCTCAAAACATCGAACTTAGCGCTTGTTATCAATAGATCGAATTACTACAACACGTGATATATTCTAAGCATGTTAATTGGTTGAAAAATAGTTGAAATTCTGGAACTTCCACTTGGCGCAAATTATATTCCGCAACAACAGCTGGGAAATTTGTTGCGCATGCGCCAGATTTCCATTGAAATTTCCCCGAAGAAATATTACGAGATGTTCGTGTTGTTGTATATTTTTGAATGCCTGTTTAATCTTTATAATTGTTTTGCTTGAGACAAAGACAAAGTAAATATACTCTACGTTTCCAGTGTATAGAATATCTCGTTTGAACAGCAATAGAATATTATAATCTTGACACAAACAAGAAGACATTTGACACGCTAAATCTGCAGTCATGCCTGAGGTATAAAAGCCAATCGTCGCGAGCTTGACCGCCTTGTCAAACGCAAAACAAGTACAAATTTGGGTTCAAACAGAAAGAAGTTCAATGTTAATACAACTAACATATATACTATACAAATACGGGTGGTTTAAAATGTTTTCAATTGAACTTTCAAAGCTTTTATCTATCGCTATGATAATCAAACATGAAACTGTGAAAATGCCGGCTTTTGTAGACGCTTGCGAATGCAAAATAACTTCCCGTAAACAGAGCATTTCTACACAAAACTCTCGCTTAGTCTTCTGATGCACTTGTACGTTCGGTTCTACTAGTTAAACAAGGAAAATATTCAAGAAACACTGGTAAATTATCGTTGTCAAAAAACATTTCAGTGCTGAGGCAGTACCACTGATCTAGCAGTCAAGGTCTCAAGGCGGCAAGGTCAAGTTGTCGATTTCATTACATTTTACAGTACTTCGGAATGTTTTCGAACTCTTGCTTCATACAAGAGCAGTAAACGCACGCATTTCAAAGCGAAATTAGACGCAAAGGGGCAATTTTTCAACAAAATTTATTGTTAAATTCTGTTTCCTATGTGCCTTGGGAGCAAAAAAATATGATTTTAAATTTGGAGGAATCGGTAAATTTTTTTGCAATTTGGCCTGGTATTGCACCCTACCTATGTAATGACTGTGCTGTAAAAGTAATCAAATCTACTATTTTGAATTTCCCTTCATTGAAAGGATCTACTTTTGTGGACTAAACTAAATTTTAATCAGCATTTAAGGCTGCAAACAACAGCCAAGAATTAGCTGGGTAGTTTGCAAACTTTAAAAATAATTGCACCTCAAACTTTGATCCCCAAAAGTAAACAAATGGCCAATACTGCGAACATAATCCAAGTTTTGACCACTAGGGGCAATTTTTAGATGTAAAAAAACTTGTTTAAATTACATATCAAACAAAGGCAAAACAAAATTTGGTATTAATTTTTTGGAGGAAACGTCAAGGTTTTTTGCTATCCGCGCACGCTTCTACACCCCCTCCCCCAGGATCCTCATTTTAAGAAAACAGTTTACTGCAGAAACTATACTTTTTTATCGGGAAAATTTTTACTTTTCTCAAAAGAAAAATTTAAAAACACGGAAACCTTAAATATTTAAATAATTTTCATACCTTTTTGGGATTGCAAAAAGTAAAATTTGATTCATTATCACACTTTTTAAAATATATGTGACAAAGTTGCTTCGAAATCACTATCACGCAGTAGCATGTTTATTTACCCTCATCCTTTTGACTGAATAAAGTTTATCTTTTTGAAAAGCAATTTGTTTTATAGCTCTTGGTTAGCAGTTTATGTTTATGTCGATTTTGGCACCCATGAGGCCAACAAGTTCTGGTATTCTGCGAATGAAAACTGATATTCGAAGAGCACAAAAGCCAACTCCTAGCTATGTAACTTTATCGCCTGAATTTTGAATCAATCCACAATTAAATTTCTGGTAATGTAGATGCTTTCCATACTTGAGATGTTAGTGAAGTTTTTCCAACAATTTAATTTCCTTGATCGTCGTCTTAAAAATGCAAAATCATCAGTTGAAATTTCACTCGTGTTGTTTTTTCAAATTTTCGAATTTTTGTAAAATATCGCGTGCGCCAGCAATTTCTCTGCACAGCGACAACAAATTTCCCAGCTGTTTTCCGCAACAGAACATTCCACAAGTTCAAATTACAGATTAAGTACGCTGCAAATAAAGGATATAGATTAATTTGACGAGAAAAACTCGCTGACAATTTCTGGCTACATTCGATAGCCGCGTTTGCGATTCAACAATAAGAACCCGATATACTGGTAATATACAGCAACCTGACTTGGCAACATACGAATGAAAAAGCGCATCAAGCAGCTAAACCTTGTGATGATTTTACACGCAATTGCAGCTCTTTCACTATACGAATTTGTATAGCAAATACCGCCCTAATTCTACAGTATTTGAATGAATAAATCCTGTAGATTGGAATATAGATTAGAGATCCTTACATGGGATATTTCTGTGCCTTTATGAAAAATGTGTAAGTTGAAAACGCGTTCTTAATTAGCAAATCTTTTTTGAAGGTGTGTTACAAAAGCACACCTTTCACCAAAGATGTGCTTAATTTAACAACGTCAAAGATGTGTTATTTTAAGGTGTGTTATTGAAAAAAGGTGTGCTATTTTGGGGAACAAAAAAAGATGTGTTAGTAGAAAAAGGTGTGTTATTGGAGAAAGGTGTGCTATTTTAAAAGGTGTGTTATCTTCCAAAGGTGTGTTATCTTTCAAAGGTGTGTTAATTGAGCATACCTTACCCTTACTCGAAAGGTGTGTTAGCTAAAGGTGTGTTACAGAACACACCTTTTGCGTAGACTGTGTTCTGCTCAGCACACCTTGGTGTGTTTTGTAGCACACCTTGGTGTGTTTTGTAGCACACCTTGGTGTGTTCAGTGACAAGAAAACACACCTTGTGTGCTATTTTAGCACACCTTGTGTGTTAAATAACACACCAAGGTGTGTTGTTTAGCACACCTATTTTTAAGAGTGTATATATATATATATATATATATATATATATATATATATATATATATATATATATATATATATATATATATATATATATATATATATATATATATATATATATATATATATATATATATATATATATATTTTACATATTTGTTTTACTTTAGATCTATATAGTGTTTCCCTCTTTAGAAGTCTATCCAATAAACGTTCTAACCATTAAAACCAAGATTGAAATTAAATCAGTCTGAAAAAAAATTTAAAATTTGATTAGAAATACATGTAGCAGAAACCTGTCAAACACAACAACTATATTTTTCAAACATGAGGTGGCTGTCATGGTAACACAATAATTTTGTTATTTTTATATTAGTTTATATTAATTGAAAAATCTCCCCCAAATTATCACTTTAGTTTTGATTACAAAATTATCATTTTCTCACAATTATTATACGTTTCGTTTTTAATATAAGCTTCAGTCATTGACAACCATAAAAACGTTTCAAAATATTCATGAAATTAAACTAATAAACAGCATTCATTTTATCGGTAAATTTGTGTTTGAAATAAAATAATTTCAAACGCAATTCCCTTGTGAAAATAACGTTGCTTTTTATTTAAACTAAGATTTTAATAATCTAAAAATAATATAAAAACACTGAATAATACGCTGTCGTTTTTTAACTATACGGAACACAAATCGAATTGAATATATCAATTTATAAAACAAACTTATAACCTTAGGTTTTATGACATTCTGCAAAATACCCAAAAATTAACCTTGAAAAAATGTAAAACTAAAAACGTAAAACTAAAAAAATAGAAATTCTGCATCAGTTAATTAAATTGTAAAAAAATTAAAATTCCTCATTCCATATACAACTGATACTATATAAAGATTCCTGGTCCCAAGTTGATACGAGAGTAAAGATTTATTTATATCCTGCAATGTAATAAAATGCTTAGTCCAAATTTTTTTTTAACAATTTTGTTATGGGTGAAACTTTGAATATATTAAAAATTCTTTATTTTTATCTCCTAATACGATCGCTATACATTTTTAGATATGTTTGGTATAGTTCCTCATTTCATTGCCCCCGGGGTGGATTTTTGCAGCGTTAAAGGCCACCATTACATCGTTCGCTCAGATGCTGGTATCTACATAAAGACAGACAGCTTGAGCAAAGAAAGTGATGTAAAGGTGTTTAATCTGCACTACTCCTGCAAAGGAGGAGATCACTACCTTGCAAACAATGGCTACTTCTACATCGTAAAAGGTAACAACTACCGCAGAGTAACGAACATGAACACGGATTCTGATTCTGTTGTCTATTCCCTCCATCCCAATTGCCAAGGTGGAGATCACTACTTGTCCATGTGCGGAAAATTTTACATCATCTACAAAGATAGAGGTATCTACAGGAGGACAACAAACATGAACAAAGACGATGACGCCGTGGAATACCCTCTCCACCCCAACTGCAAGGATGGTCTATACTACTGGGGTCTGGAAAAATATGCCTACACAATTAAGCCACTGGGAGATTGGGATCCTCAATATCACAAGACAAGCAATATGAACCACGACTGGGATAGCCATGACCAATCCTTCAACAACGATGTTGTAAACTTTTTGCCAGGAGCTCCAGGACAAGCGGTCATTAAAGATGGTAATTCTATTGGAGAATACAAGCTTGCAAAATGTTCCGAGAAAATGGAGAATGCATCAAAGGATACGGGGATCGATTGCACATTATTCATGAACTTTTCATTCTTTGTTTTAATGGTTGTATATCTCTCACGAAATTATGAATAGTGAGAGAGAACATTATTGACATTGCCAGTTTTCTCTTATACATTAAAATTGGGTAATAACGAAACATATATTAACATTAGAATAAAACGAAACAAGGTGTATTATAGCAACACTTATCCATACTGTTTTGTCACAGTGACATGCATATATATATATATATACAGTAGCACACCTTTAGGTGTGTTATTCGCTTGTCCAGAAAACAACACACCTTTAGGTGTGTTTTGAGAAAAGGTGTGTTTGTTAGCACACCTTGGTGTGTTTGTTAGCACGCCTTGGTGTGTTGCTGTAACACACCTTAAGGTGTGTTGCTGTAACACACCTTTAAGGTGTGCTGTTGTAACACACCTTTAAGGTGTGCTGTTGTAACACACCTTTAAGGTGTGCTGTTGTAACACACCTTTAAGGTGTGCTGCTGTAACACACCTTTAAGGTGTGCTGCTGTAACACGCCTGAAGATGTGCTACAGTAACACACCTTGGGACGTGCTACAGTAACACACCTTAAAGTGTGCTGCTGTGACACAACTTAAGGCGTGCTACTGTAACACACCTGATTGATTAACCTAAGAAATCAATAAAGACATTTTTAAGTCAAAATAATTTATTTTCCTTCTATATACAAGGTATACAGTATTGTAAGAGGAAATACGATTTGCTTTAGCATATAATGATATATTCTTACGCTCGATAACATTCTTTGAATACAGTTCTAAGTTCAAAGTTTGATTGATGATATCATGGCTGCATGTGGATTGCAGGATGATGCAAATAGCCAATATTAAATATAGGAGACAATCAACAGCCTACTCTAGTAAGGCAATAATAGCAGACTGATCATGGGTTTTTGTAGATGGACATTTCAAATGGAAATTGTACAGTTAACATGTGTTTCATATAACTAACTGAGAACATGTTTCGCTCACTCTGGTTTAAATAAATTATTACAAAGTCTAGTTGAATTGTAATCAAGACCCAACGTTTTGACACTCCAGTGTAGTGTCTTCATCAGGGGTGATCTAAAGTTGCAATTGTCGCTTCTTAAATACCCAAGGGATGACGTCACCTGCCAATGAGATGCATGTCATATTAAGGTTGCCTTAAAACCGTATTATTTTGACTTTAGGCCATATTTTCACAAAGCCAGAAGATCCTATTAAAACAAATCAGAAACCTCATGCTGTATATTCTATACAGTACCATGCGGTGACTGCGAAAAAGAGTATTTCGGTCAGTCTAAACACCAGTTTGGTACATGGCTAAAAGAACATCAAAGGGCTGTTTCAACTTTAAAACAAGGGAAAAGCAGCTTTATCAGAACATGTGTGTGACACCAAACACAAGATTGTGTCGGGTATTTAAGAAGCCACAATTGCAACTTTAGATCACACCTAAAGAAGACACTAGACTGGAGTGTCTAAACACTGGGTCATGATTGCAATTCCACCAGGCTTTGTAATTATTTATTTAATCCAGATTAGCAAGCGAAACATGATTGATATACCTGGTTGCAGTGAACAAACACACTGCAAATAACTCAGAGAGCAATTGCAAGTCTGCCAGTATGAACTGAACCTACCGGCAGCCCTGCAATTCTACTGCTGCCCTCTGACTTAAAGTGTCTGTTTGCCAAGAGGTCACCACAAGTTGCTGTACATATATAAACCATGGTGGTGTCAGTGGTAGTATATTAAGTTAACTGGTATCAGTATTATATACATAAACTGCTGGTGACCTTCATTGACTCTTGGGGCTTGATGGACTCTTTGCAATTAAGAAGCCGATCCGAATCACAGGGGTTTCATTCCCGGCACAATAGCTATTACATAACTGTTATTGTTCAATATTTCCATCTACAGAAAGACTTTAACCCATTGAGTGGCAGCATACCTTGCATTGGACAAAAAATAATAAAATAATAAAGTAGAGCACATTGCCACTTAAAGGGTTAAACATTCTGTTCAATCTTGAATATTTACAAGTAAAATACACTGCATGTAGTGTCAGTGCTCAATCAAGCATATATATATGTCTAATGTCGTGCAAGTCCATTAGCTAAATTTTAGCACAAAACAAGCTGTACTATACCACCAGTCGGCAACTCCTAGTCCTTTCCTTGCATGGTTTGGTAAGCCATAAACATAATGCTCTCCAGCAAAAGAATAACATTTTCCAAATAGACCATGAAGTACCGTACTTAGAATGCCATTAATGATCATATATATTGCCACTTGTTTAGATGACTTGCCTTCTCCTGGGATGCTTCGATAACTTTTCATTCAGCATCACAGGATATAATGAATCCATATTAAATACAACCACTATTAAGAAAAAATATATAAGGTTGATATATAACAGAAGCAAATTATTGAGTGACAATGAATTTGCTATTTTTGGTTGTTTTCTAGTGTAAAAAGCAAGCAGAGGTGTAACTTAAGACTTGCCCACTAGTTGCCCGAGACAAGTGAAATTCATGATGGGCAAGTAAACGTTTTATCTTGCTTGCCCGATTTGGCAAGTTGCCTTGCCGCAAAAATCTGTGCATCTTTAATTTAAGTTTATGTTTTCATTGTCGGATAATTTTTTTGTAGTGCATGTACTGGATTCTGGCACTCTCCCCCTGACGAGTAAAATCGTTAGGCGTAAGACAAAGTAAAATTATAATAAAGTAGGGCACATCTGGCCACATTGTCCCTTACGGGATAAACAGGGTGCATCCTTTTGGCAGATAGTCTGATTAACCCATTGAGGGGCAGATTCTCCTCCTGACAAGTAAAATTGTCTGATGTTAGACAAAGTAAAATAATAAAGTAGGGCGCATTGCCACTTAAAGGGTAAAAATATCTTGGTAATTGTTTTTATCAGTTACATTTCGAAACTGTCTGCAAAAGTGTGATGTTGGTTACCGTATTGGAAAATGTGCTTCTACTATAAAACTCAGTCTGGTTGATTCGATTTGGCGAGCCTGCATGCCCATCTAAAGAGGCTCATGTAAACAGACATTCATCCAGGGAAAGCAAGCTATAGCCGGGCTACATGGGCTGGCTTTCCTCCATATTGACCATATAAGCATCTCCTCACACATGTTTTAGGGTGACCGATAGGAGGGTTTAATACCATAGCAAGCACATGTCATACATTGGGTATAAATATTGGGAGATGGGTTATACAATGCTATCTATATGCTATTAATTTGACTTCAAACAAATTACATAATTTGTATTTATGTGATTTGTAAGTATACAATGCATGTGAACTATAAATGGCAAACATTTCACAGGAAATATAGCATACACGTATATCACATAAATAAGCTATACGATTTTCTTAAAACACAGATAAGTAGAGTGTAGATTAGATTTATACACTTCTGCTAATAGAAATTAATCGAAAATTTACAACTGAACGTTTAGTCAGGGCCATTCCATTTAATATCCACACCCCCCTGTTGACGAGGTTACTGATTTTTTACCCCTTCGGAAACGGTTTTTGGGAAGACCCCTCAGAAATTTTCTATTTTTAGCGAACCCCCCTCTGAAATTTTCGATTTTTCTCAAGCCCTTCGGAAATACTTGTTGACGAGGTTTCACCACGGAAGACCCCTTCGGAAATTTTGAAATTTTTCTCCCCCCTTCGGAAATTTTGTATGATTTTCATACCCCTTCAGAAACAGACCCTGTTGACGAGGTTGCTGTTTTTTTACCCCTTCGGAAATTTACGATTTTCTCAAGACCCCTCGGAAATTCTTGTTGCCTTGAGAGACCCCTTCGGAAATTTTCAAATTTTTATAACCCCTTCGGAAATTTTTTATAATTTTCTTACCCCCTCAGAAACAGACCCTGTTGACGAGATTGCTGATTTTTTACCCCCTCGGAAATTTACGATTTTCTCAAAGACCCCTCGGAAATTCTTGTTGGCGTGAGAGACCCCTTCGGAAATTTTCAAATTTTTATAACCCCTTCCGAAATTTTCTATAATTTAATTCTTTCCGCCTCAGACTGAACAGACCCTGTTGACGAGGTTGCTGGTTTTTTACCCCCTCGGAAATTTACTATTTTCTCAAGACCCCTCGGAAATTTTGAGCTTTTCCCCGAGCCCTCGGAAATGTTAAGAATTTTGTCTGAATTGGCCATCGGGATACACTGCAACCTGTATATAATGCCGATTTTAGGTTTTACTGAATGTTTATACATTAAAGGCACAGTTAAAGGCACAATTCAGCCTTTTGAATGATAGTTTTTAAGCCGCGTTACAACTTTCAAAAAGAAAAAGAAGTAAGTAAGAATATAAATTACTTAAAATTCAAGATTAGTGATTTCAATGCTTTCAACATTTTTAATGTTACAAACATTGAGTTCACAGATCTTGAATCATGCTTAATTGATTTTCTTAGTTGAGTAGAAACTACAATAAAACGTAAGCCATGTTTATTATGATCGTTGACCAGCTCGACTATCAAACCCGGCAAGCATACTGTAATTATTGACATTGGCACCTTGATAGCGCTCTTTTTCACACCGGATGATTCTTTCCATTGCGTGCAAGTGAAAGACGATACGATATCAGTAATCCATCACCATATAGAAGGCGTTTTTTCTTTAATAGCCTTGCCACAGTCCGAAAAATCTCAACATTCAATCCAATCTCTGTATTATGAAATTTAAAAATTTGAATTTTCAAAGAAATAACATATATGTCATTATCCATAAAATAGTGTAAACATGCTTACCTTTCCCATTCATTAGCAAAACACTTTAGATACCGCATTGCAAACTTACCAAATACCGGCCAAATGCTGTTCGCTAGAGAAATACACAATAAATTAAAATGTATGCAAAAAATTGCACAAAAGATTAATTTACCATGGTCCTCCCTAGCATCGCTTCTTACATCCCATAAACACATCGTATATCTAACCACCAGCACCTCAGAAACCACGTTCAATATTCAGTTATAAATAATCATCGTCAAACAGTACCACGCCAAAAACGGACTGAATTTTTCATTAATAATCATCCTTAAGCAGCAGCAGCAGCAACGGGAGAAATGTTCAGTGAATACACATCATAAAACAGCATATCGCACCAAATATGAGAATTTTGAACACAACATACGATCGGTAACTACTTCGATGCGGCAATCCAAATTCAAAGAGAGTTTAATTTTAGTTTATGTATACAGCAGCAAATCGGGACGATAAAAGCTATTTAAAATATCTTGGAAATATCCAGCAGCAAACAGAAGATGAAAGTTCAAATAATTATCTTGGTATAACAATGTCCAGCAGCAAACACAGCATGAAAGTTCAAATAATTATCTTGGTATAATAATGTCCTGCAGCAAACACAAGATGAAAGTTCAAATAATTATCTTGGTATAACAATGTTCAACAGCAAACAGAAAATGGAAGTTCAAATAATTATCTTGGTATAACAATGTCCAGCAGCAAACAGAAGATGAAAGTTCAAGCAATTATCTTGGTATAATAATGTTCAACAGCAAACAGAAGATGAAAGTTCAAGTAATTATCTTGGTATAACAATGTTCAACAGCAAACAGAAAATGGAAGTTCAAATAATTATCTTGCATGGTATAATAATGTTCAACAGCAAACAGAAGATGAAAGTTCAAGTAATTATCTTGGTATAACAATGTCCAGCAGCAAACACAGGATGAAAGTTCAAATAATTATCTTGGTATAATAATGTTCAACAGCAAACAGAAGATGAAAGTTCAAATAATTATCTTGGTATAATGTGGTCCAGCAGCAAACAGTTGATGAAAGTTCAAATAATTATCTTGGTATAATAATTCAACAGCAAACAGAAGATGAAAGTTCAAATAATAATCTTGGTATAATAATGTCCAGCAGCAGCAAACAGGAGATGAAAGTTTGAATAATTATCTTGGTATAACAATGTCCAACAGCAAGCAGAAGATGAAAGTTCAAATAATTATCTTGGTATAACAATGTTCAAGAGCAAACAGAAGATGAAAGTTCAAATAATTATCTTGGTATAACAATGTCCAGCAGCAAACAGAAGATGAAAGTTCAAATAATTATCTTGGTATAATGTGGTCCAGCAGCAAACGGAAGTGAAAGTTCAAATAATTATCTTGGTATAATAATGTTCAACAGCAAACAGAAGTTGAAAGTTCAAATAATTATCTTGGTATAATGTGGTCCAGCAGCAAACAGTTGATGAAAGTTCAAATAATTATCTTGGTATAATAATTCAACAGCAAACGGAAGATGAAAGTTCAAATAATAATCTTGGTATAATAATGTCCAGCAGCAGCAAACAGGAGATGAAAGTTTGAATAATTATCTTAGTATAACAATGTCCAACAGCAAGCAGAAGATGAAAGTTCAAATAATTATCTTGGTATAATGTGGTCCAGCAGCAAACAGAAGTGAAAGTTCAAATAATTATCTTGGTATAATAATGTTCAACAGCAAACAGAAGTTGAAAGTTCAAATAATTATCTTGGTATAATGTGGTCCAGCAGCAAACAGTTGATGAAAGTTCAAATAATTATCTTGGTATAATAATTCAACAGCAAACGGAAGATGAAAGTTCAAATAATAATCTTGGTATAATAATGTCCAGCAGCAGCAAACAGGAGATGAAAGTTTGAATAATTATCTTGGTATAACAATGTCCAACAGCAAGCAGAAGATGAAAGTTCAAATAATTATCTTGGTATAACAATGTCCAGCAGCAAACAGAAGATGAATGTTCAAATAATTATCTTGGTATAACAATGTTCAAGCGCAAACAGAAGATGAAAGTTCAAATAATTATCTTGGTATAATGTGGTCCAGCAGCAAACAGTTGATGAAAGTTCAAATAATTATCTTGGTATAATAATTCAACAGCAAACGGAAGATGAAAGTTCAAATAATTATCTTGGTATAACAATGTCCAGCAGCAAACAGAAGATGAATGTTCAAATAATTATCTTGGTATAACAATGTCCAACAGCAAGCAGAAGATGAAAGTTCAAATAATTATCTTGGTATAACAATGTCCAGCAGCAAACAGAAGATGAAAGTTCAAATAATTATCTTGGTATAATGTGCTCCAACAGCAAACAGAAGATGAAAGTTCCAATAATTATCTTGGTATAATAAGGTCCAGCAACAAACAGATGGTAGCTAACATTTAAAAAATTGTCTTGTTAATGATGTCCTTCTGCAAACTGTGAATGGAAGTTTAAATAATTATGTTGTTATAGTAATGTCCGGTTTCAAAGCGAAGATTATCTGTTATAAATGTCCAATATTATCTTTAAAAAACCTGCTTCTTAAGGCGCAGTTGCTCAGATATTAGTTTTGGTAGAACAGGAATGGTATAGGTCCAGTTTTGGTTGGTTGAAAGGACAATATCAATCTCATCATCGTCCTTGTCAAAAGATTGAACTTCTGCCTCATGCCAACCTATGCAAGAAAACCTTTTAAGATATTTTATTTATATAATATATACATGATGTTATAACAGGGCTCCTAATGCACATTAGATT